TGGATAAACAGAATTATAATATAAGGTTATACTGTGGCATCCTCCTAGATTTTAATCCTGCATATATATTTTAATATTTACATGTACAATAAATAAATCTCTCTTGAAATGCACATTTTCACCTGAACTGCATATTGTTTAACCAAATCGATTTTGCCAATAACGGAATCCAGCTGAAGGCTTTGTGGCCAGTAATTACACTGGTCACATTACATGTAATTATTTATCTCTGAAAAGTTACAAAGATTTTAAAATTCTTGGAAATGTATGTCGTAAGTAAACACAAACGTATTCTGAGTTCATCAAAGGACAAATGGCAGGCAGCATAAATACAGACTGACGACCACAAATAAAATATAGACAACATAAATGGGCCAAAATAACAGGACACAAAAGAGCAGAGAGTAGAAATGAAAGGTGCATTAACTAAAATGGGAAAGGATGTGGTGTCTCACATCCATGATAGTCTACCTGTTTCAGCACTTCTGTTTTTATCTCAGCTTTTCTAAACTGTCCTTTCAAAATACAGTTTGCAAATTCACCCCCGCTTACCACCCAGCAACTGAAAACAGCAGTAATAATTTTCTTTAAATCAACTTCAACAGATATCGTTAGACTGACTGTCCAGAGCTACTTCAGCTGTGGTTATATAGAAATAGGTCTATGCAAACAAAGTACCAGAGATGGACATTTGATAACTGGATGCTACATTTAACAAATGATGAAAGAAGAAATTCATAACTGGATCTTAGGAATCAAAGCTCTGTCTGTGCCAGACTGTAGGGGAACACAAGGAGCCACAAAGCCCCAGAACAGTACAGCAGACAGACAACATGCAGCCTCTGACAGAAGAGTCGTGGCACAGGAATAACAAAGCCGAACACACAGATGGCTGAGTCCCGGCCCAACTAATGCAAGGCTGATCCACTATCTCCGCCTATTGGGGCAAAGGAAAGAAGGATCATTTCCAAAGCAGATGGTCTTAGTCTGGGTGTAGACAGGACCTACACCCAAAAGTCTGGGCCCTCAGTCTGTTTACATCCTCAAATAAACATCACCAACTCAGTTCAGTTTTAAATTAGTTTTTGCCCAGTGACATACAGTATGTAAACAGCTGGAAACTGTCCCTCTAAATAAACTACATAATGTCACCCAGTGCGATAATGTGGCTCCTTATTGTGTTTTAATAGTTTAGTACACAATAATGGCACTCTGTAGCATAAAGGCTTTGGCTATACAGTACAGTAGTAGGATAAATTCTTTTGATGGGATTTGTTGTCATAAGAAAAATACAGAATATCAGCAGACATATCCTTTAAGATCAGCCTGAGGGGATTATAGGGTCGGCAGGGGTTGAACTGAGATCAAGGCACCACTACAGTTCCTTCCTCTTCTAATCTGACAGCTGCAGCTACTGACTGTTCAGGGAGGTTTCCACACGGTCTTATGCTCTATGGCATGGACCCATTGCATGTGAAAATGTATGCACGCGCTGCATATGTGTGGATGAGTGTGAGCGAGTGAACGATGAAGGTGCTCTACGGTTCAAAACGGTGACCTAAATACAGGTACGGCACCATGGCAACAGTATACAGGATCTTCAGCGTCTTCTGCAGTGGCGGCCTGCTTTCCAGACACCTTAGGGTGCAACATTTTTCACTTTACAGCATTTTTATTTAAAAGTGAAACTAAAAAATTCATGTAAAAGCTGCATTTACAGTAGCTATAACTCCACAAGTGCTCAAATCATTAACACACTGAAAAAAAAAAAAAAAAAAAAAAGACATGCAGGTAGGAGTTCTCTGTGTGCGATGTGAAGTGAGGCAGTGTTAACCAAGATTTACAACCTGCTTCTTGTCAGGTCTGAATTACTGTATGTGTGAAGCTAAATCTGCCAGCTGCTCTGACAATATATAGAGATACAGAGCACAATGAGAGACGTAGGACGAGGTGACAAATCACCACTTAAGCTTCTGCTGCCTGCCCACACCGCAGAACAATGCAGACCTGGCCATATGCGAAAACGAGTGAACACCATGACAACAGTGGGAAAATATGGCGCCTTTTAAACTGTTGCCAAGCGTATGTGATATAAATTAAGAATAAGTCTGAGTCAGTGACTTCATTCCTGCAGCTTTGACCCTTTCATTCTGATTTGTCCTGCAATATTTTAAAAGAAAGCAAAGTGCATCTAAAACTATGCTGCCGTTAGCCAGATTTGCTGAGACTCTTCTTCCAGGAACTTTTGTTTTTAGCAAATTCTCCAAAACAACATGTTCAAGTGAAAAAAAAAAACCTCTAGCAGCCAGAGATCTACTGAAGACAAAGGACGTTACTGCACGTTACTGTGTTCTATCTTAATTTTAAACTTGATTAATATCAAATAAATTCATTTTCAAAAATGTCTAAAAACATATTTGAATAACACAAAAGTAGAAAAGTTAACAAGAAGAAAAGTAATAGATCTAAAGTCACCTTAGATTGAAGACTTTAAAGTTTGAATGATGTTTCTAACCCAAAGTCTCAAGATGTAGACAGCAACTGAAAAAAGGCTAAATAATATTTGTAAAAAGTAAATACATAGATAAATAAAGGGGGAAGGTAACAATAGTTGGGAGAGTTGCTCCATCAGCTCTCCCAACACTGTGTGTCTTTTTTCCTCCACCTTGATTTGGATGAAGGCAACGGGCAGAGGATTGTTGACCCAAAACACCGTTGGTTTGCAGCATCTGGTTCTCAAACAAATATGCAAACAAACACAAACACCCCTGGACTTTGTGTTCAATGTTTGAATAAGACAAACAGAAGGAGCGAGAAAAAATAAACAAGATGATGAATGAAAATGACAGTTTTCAGAATTTCAGTCAATTATTTATATTCTTTGTGAATTCCCTGAAACCTATGAAGCTCTTTTCTCAGATAACACAGTTTGTAGATGTTTGGCTTTCCTTTTAGTGGCTGTACCTAGTAAGTTGCAGTAAAATGGCTGTTTAAATGGGATTAAACCCAACTAAAAACACAAAGAAATATCAAACAGGATAAGAGTATCAGCTAAAAGATGCAGTAATTACACAGCGAGTCCACCAAACCTCTGATGGATCGCTGCTTCTTCACCACTTGACTCCTCTGACACACAGAATCATCTGATCCACTAGACAGCTGAATTTTAACAGGATCATCAAACGAGACGGCTCCGACAGGGTGGTTGGAGGCCGCTCACAAATCCTTTAAATGTGCTTAGATTAGCAGTGCATCTACCATTTAGTGTATACTTGAAGAAGGTGTTAATCAATGAGCTCTGCTGACTGTGGAGGAAGTAACGTGCAGAGCCAGATCCCTCTTTATCATCCAGGTAACAAGGGAAGTGTGTTGTAAAGAGGCTTGAGCAACAAGTGGTCAACTGCCCCAAAACTCCTTCATTTACACTACTCCATTTCTGAATACAAAATTTAATTGCAAATTTATTAAAAATTTAGACCACTTACATAAGTACAATATCAGCTGTTTGGTTGTCTATTCTCCATCTTGACGCTCTCTCTCTCACAGAGCTTATTTTAAGCAGTTAAATGTTTTGCTTTATATTGTGGTTGTTTGTTATGCTTCTTTTTTATGTGTGTCATGTAATGAAGACAGAAAAACCTGTAAAGCTGTAAGCGAAAATTATTTTCATTATCACTGAAAAATGTTTAGCATTATTCCCTGAAGCCCAAGTCAGAATGTTCTAATTTTGTTTAGTCTGAAAAAAGATATTTGCCATTTTAACATAAAAATTACCTAAATGATTAATCGGTTATCAAAATTGTTGTAATTAATTTCCTGTTATTCAACTAATCGAGTGCAAATGACACGACCGCTAATTTCTTCACACCTTCGCAGAGAATGTACTGTAATGTCACAGCCTTGTACAGAATGTACCTCCACAATTTTATGACTCTAATGAGTAACATAAATGGCATATTACTGTATGTTTGCCTTCAGCTTGATAAAATATCCCTGGCTATGTTCCTAGGGTTTATAGCAGAAATAATTAGCTATTTGATTGTTGACTTTTGTACGCATCTTTTGGCTTTACATAATACTCATGTTAATGTGCATTGTTCATGATAAATAAGAGCATAAAGAAAAAAGTTTTTACTGGTTTTAGCTTCCCAAACATGATGATTTTCAGCTTGTCTTTGTCATACATGATCACTCACTGAAGATCCTGCAGTAATAAACTTTTTGTCCGTTACAAAAAAAGGAATTTGAAGATGTCGCCTCAGGCTGTTTTTTGATATTTCGAAGACTACTTAAGTGAGAAAATGACTGCTATTTGCAGCTGTAATGGAAATTGTCTCTGTGCATGTTGCTGCCTCATCAGTCTACAAAACATTCCTAATATTCTGCATGCTTAAAACATCAAATTTGAAACTTAAATTTTAGCTGTCATCCACAGCGTTAGAAAGCTATTTCCACATTGCACGCTTTAAGCTTCATCAGCTTTAATCAACTCAAAATGCCAGGCTGACCAGACCTGCTGCCTCACACAACAGCCTGCTCTGCTCCTGATGCTGAAAGTTTTTTTAAATGACAACAACAACCCCCGGCTGTCAAGCATGTTATGGGCTAATTTGAGATTAAACAATGTCGCACATGTCAGAAACAACTGTCCAGCAACAGAGGCTGATCATCTACAGCAGGGGTATCAAACTCATTTGATGCCAACCCGATGGTGTATTGTGGTGTTTTCTTTGCATTTTATGTCTTGTCTTAATTTGTAATTTCATTTTTAAGTAATTATATTTGTAATACAAAGGTGAATTAGTATTTTATTTTGCATTCTCAGAAGTTTGGTCTTGACCATATAAAGTTTATGTAACTGTGATCATGATGATCACTTGATCAAACAAATGGCAATGAAGGGGACAGACCCTAGTGGTAGGCAAGAATAGTAGAGAAATACAAATACAGAAATACAAACTGTCTACTTTTTTAACATCAAAACAAGACTTGTTCAAAGTGGTTTAGGTGAAAATGAAGTTTAACTTCGAGTTCAGGGAAAGTCATGTTTTCACCTAACCTGCTTTAACCTGCAGGTTTTTAAATGGTTTTGAATGTTACTACGGTGGCCTGTTAGCTTACAGCACATTTGACTGACAGATTGTGATTTTGAATGTAAACATGCAGAAAGTTGAACTCTGCAGCATTCAGAGCTGTGACGTCATCAGCGACATGGCTTTGATCGTCGTGATGTCACCAAGTCTTGCGCAGCAGCTCACCTAATAACTGCAGCTTAACAGGCAATCAGACAACTTCTGAACTTCAATAGAGACACCACGCTGGTGAGCAAGAGAGATTAACTCGACAAACACACGTTAAACAACATCTATTCAGTGAAATACTTCGGTATTCCCGTAAAAAGTGATTCTTCCAGTAAAAAAAATGGCAAGTTCTGCCGACAGACCCCAAAACTGTAGAACCAACATACAGACAGCTCGCAGGAACAAGAACATGAACTGCGAAGCTCCTCATGAAGAAATCAGGAGGCTTCAAGGGATGCTGAGCAGAGGCAGGGAGAACTTTAACTATGAACAGAACTGGAGGATCCAATTTAGCCAAGAGCTAAGCCAGACAAAGGAACAGCTGGCTTACCAGAAAGCCAAGACTGAAGACTTTATCAAGAGGGAGAAAGAAGCTAGAAAGGAGCTTGAGAGGCTGAGGCAGTACTGTGACGCAGAAGCTCTCAGCGCCTCGAACATTGCCTCTCAGGTGGCCAATAGTATAAAGAGGAGGAAGAAGAAAGATCTTCAGAAAGACTACGAGGATCTGAAAGTGGCATATACGATATGCCAGAAGAGGTTCACGGATGAGCTCAATGCGGAGAGGAACAAGAACAGCGCTCTCCAAGAAGAACTGGAGAAGCTCAGAGCTTCACACCATGAGCTCAGCCTGAGAGGTGAGGACGATTCCCTCGCTCTCAAGCAGCGGGTGGAAAGTTTTCACAGTGAGCATGAGACAGAAAACAAGTCTCACTCCGACACGGTGGAGCAAGATCTCCAGCTGATCGACACCCTGAAGGCGGAGAAAGCCGCTCTAAAGGTGGAGAAAGACCCCCTTCAGCGTGAGCTAGAGACTGAAAAGCTCACTCATGCAGAAAGGGTGGAGCAAGATCTTCAGCTGATCGACACCCTGAAGGTGGAGAACAACAGCTTGAAGGCGGACAAAGACGCCCTTCAGCGTGAGCTAGAGACTGAAAAGCTCACTCATGCCAACATGGCGGAGCAAGATCTCAAGATGATTGAGACTTAAGGACTGAGAAAGACAGCTTTAGTCAAAAGATGGCAGAGGAGATGATGAAGATGCAGAAAGAAATTGATAGCAAGGTCATGCTCTATGAGAGAATACTGGAGCCACTGAGAACCATGCTCGACATGCAGGTCTCACTCAACAACCAGCTCTTAGCTAAGCTCAATGCTAAGGAAGTCACCAGCTGTGAAGAGCATGATGACCCTGAGGAACAGCATGAGGATGGACAATGTGAGGACCAGGACTCTCTCCCTGGTGCCTT